ACTCAGGAGCTGCGGTGGCTCAAGTGGTTAAGACACTGAACTGCAGGCTGTGGAAGGTCAGTAGTTCAGCAGTTCGAGACCCGGGTGCCGCATGATGGAGTGAGCTCCCGTCTCTAGTTCCAGCTCCTGCCAACCTAGCAGTTCGAAAGCAAGAAATTGCAAGTAGATAAATAGGTACCACTTTGGTGGGAAGGTAACAGCATTCCTTTAAAATGGGGGGAGGGATGACACCTAATATTAAACTTGTCTGGTTGACTATCATTTTCATGTTAAGATACCAAGCTAAAAGAAATTAACAAATATTCCACTCTTTATTTTTGAAACATACACATATGCATGTATTTTTGTAAACACCTAACTCACAAAGCCCCCCTACTCTTGCTGTTGAATTATTTTCAGAAAATGACATCAGGACATTGAATGAAACAGGACAGCTTCTCTTTTGAGGCACCAGGATGTAATCTGTGCCACTTATCTTTAAGGTCTAAGGTAGATGAGATGCCAGGAAACCATGACCAGATCCCTTGTAATCGAATCTGTTTTCACAGAAAGAGTAATGTAAGACTCGGACTTGAAAAATTCAGGCTCAAAACCCTCTCAGCTATGATGCTGACTAGGTGATCTTGGGTCTCTCTCTCTCTCTCTCTCTCTCTCTCTCTCTCACACACACACACACACACACACACACACACACACACACAGAAAGACAGGATAAATGGAGGAGAGGATGACTAGGAATGCATATAGAGAAAAAAACTGTTCCTCCCAAATGCTGCAAACCTAATTAAATTTGCATACACCCTGTGGCTGTCATTAAAAGATGGATTATTTGATCATAGATCTCAAATGTCTATCTTTCCCCATTGGTGCTGTCAGGAGCATTCATCAGTCACCAGCATTCACCATGCTGGTACATGCTAAGGTTACCAACCTCTAGTGGTAGCTGAAGTTCTGGAACTACAACCCTGGAGAAACTGGAAACTTTGTAGTGTGGACTCTGTGGTATCACAACCCTGCTGACTTCTTCCCCCTTCCAAAACTCCACCCTCCCCAGTCTCTGCCCCCAAATCTCTAGGAATTTGCCAGCCTGGAGTTGGCAGCTGTAGTACATGCACAGAACTTATTAGCTCGAACTGCAGTTCCAGAAATGTGATGATTAAATAATTTAATTAATTAAATATCAGAAGTGGTCGATCAAAAACAAACTTTTTCTCAAGCATTCAAGGACACTCTTCTCAGTTTACCATCAGATTTTGACTGGGGCCCAGAAGTGTACTGTTCACCCATCACAGACTGTTTCCACATGGAAGTTTTGCTCCTCCTGGCCTTCCTTAGTGCAGAATATTTTCAAGATCATCCACATGAGCAGCCCTATTAGTCCTGTTCTCATGTGTTTACCCACTTTACTATGATCATTCCCAAACCTGATTTGATACATATTTTTGGAAACATCATAGCCAAAGTGCCTTAGGAAGTCATGTAGACAGGAAGGTGCACACTTATTGGGTCCTGCCCAATCGGTGTTATGTTCCTTACCTCAGTCTCTGGGGGGGTCATCCACCCACCAAAGGGCATTTCAGGCTTTTAAAATATTTAATAGGTGTATCACTATGGTTTTACCGTGTACCTTCATTTTTTTAAACACAATTAAGTCTCTAGGCCTTTTTTATGCAGTGCTATAATAGGTGCACATTTCTCCCAAGAAAACTGCAGGGGGAAATTCTCTGTGGATGTCCTTTTTCCACGGCAATGCCCGTGCATTTGCAGCAACAACAAGAGTTATATGGACAGTCATTTCTGTATGGAAGCAGCCACTGAGGTCACCAGTGGTCCCTTTGATTTCAATGGCTGGGGAAAGCAGAGCTATAAGCACAGAGCAGTGTTCACATGTGACAAATATAACTGTTTATAGACTATTTCTATGCACACAAAAAAGTAATGCTAATTGTCCCCAGCCTCTCTACGTTGCTTCATTTTTCCCAGTAGAGAAAAACACTGCTGTGTTAAATAACAACACTGATTGCAACTTAGTAAACTATTCAGAACAGGGAGAATATTTTAGAGTTGATACCAGGTCATTGACCAAACATCTTAGTAAAGCATTTTAGTAAAACAGTAATCGCAGAAAGAATTTGCTAGACAGAAGTATTCTCATTACAAAATAGGGCACCATCTCTCATATTCAGTTCTGTTCTTGTGTGTGTGTTTTTAAATCATCAGTTCAGATAAAACAAAATCACCAGTTCTTCTCTTCCAGAGACTTTTTTGTAAATAAAAAACTGTTGCTTGTTCATTGTACATCTACTCTTCCAAAGTGTGCTTCCTATGTATTGAAACTCAGAACTGGGGGTTTTTTTTAATGAGAATGTTTATAATTTAACTCTTACCTTAGTAAACTATTGAGTATTCAGGTAAAATCTGCTGCAAATGGTTGGTTTGGCATGGGGATATGCAAGAGGAGTTACACAACCATTTTATAGTGCCAAAGGTGCATACCTTTGGAAAGGAACATTTCTGTATCATTACATTAATTTTCTGTTTTCTAGAGTTTTTCTGCTCTTTTTTTACATCAGATTACAGTTCCTAAATTTCACATTTAAATTTGTAGGGAATTCTTAGGAAACAGCAAAACAGCTCGGTCATCTACTCCACACACCCCACCTTACCCTCCCACACACACATGATTTTAGCTTTAAGGACACCTCCCAGAAAGACCTGCCAGGGACATGGACTTCACTGAGTGGCTGAGACAATGGTATCCACCCCTTATGTGGAAAGTGTTTAATTGGAGCCTAGTAGTCACACTCTGGCCTAGGATATAAATCAACAGCATCTGCCAGAATCTGAAAGCCAGCAGCTGCAGGAAAGCAGGGTAGTGAGGGACTCAGTAATCTTCCCCCTTGTCCTACTGTGTTTGTGTTTTGTCCTGAGGAGATCTCTTTTCTTCTAACAGCTACCAGGAGCATGAATGAATGAGTGAATTAGATCACTCTTGACCAGGAAGTCATCACCACCTAGTAAGTATGCTCTATTAAGTCACCACCAAAGCAGTCGCTGTCAGTGGGGATCATCCTTTTGGACTGTTGGGGGACACCGGACTCTGCTAATCATGTTTAGGACATTAATATCTCCCAGCTCAGTGAAAGTAAGGAAGAGCAGTTTTAAAATCTGTTTGCCCTAGCCAAGCCCAACTTAGAAAACTATTTTTTTTATTTTTTCTATGTCTTTGTATTTAACTCTGTTTTTAAGGGTTTTAATGGTGTGTGTATGTGTGTGTGTTTTGGGGGGTAATTTTAATTGTTTGAAATGTGATTTTATCATGTATGTTTAAAATAGTTAGCCACCTCGGTGGCCATTGTGGGGACAGAAAGGTAGGATATAAATTTTGTAAAATAAAATAAATAAATATTTAGTTTCTTGGTAGAAGCAGACAAATCAAAATATATGACCTGCCCATATCCTCCCCACCAAATAATCCCCCAATCAAAAAGCATCTGCATTCGAATTTTCAGACTCTTCAGTCATCAACTTCGTCATCAGTTATGGTGCTTGGGTCACAACAAGGGTGGGCATAGTGGCTACAGTTAAGGTTTATGCTATCAGTTTCTTTCTTGTCCCTCTTCCTCTTTTGCCTGTTAGTCCTTTAGATATAGGTCTATTATTTTAATAAGCTGCATTTGGTTAAGCCTTGGTCTTATAGTTGTCTTCATATAAATAACGATCCTTTAGATATAGGTCTATTATTTTAATGTGAATAAGCTGCATTTGGTTTAGCCTTGGTCTTATAATTGACTTCATATAAATAAGCATACCTGGGAGTTCTAGGCTTCAATTGCAGCTCTGTACATAGTACTAAGTCGATATTTGTGTTTTGGTGTGCTGGTTATTTCTTTAATAATTTCATTTCATTATTAGACTGTACATTTCTTAGAGTACTGTAAAGAGTAAATATATTAGACTGTAGTCCTATGCACAGTTATCTGCACATGAAACATTTTCTGGAATTTTGAAGCCATGAGGAGAAAAAACTGCAGCCATCCAATGAAGCTGAGGAAATGGTGGGGACAAGCGTCCCCCCCCAAGCTACAATTACAATTAGAATTGGGGCCCCACAGCAGTGCTTTTAGGGGAAGTTCTCTATGGGGCCTGGCAGCTAGCATATGTCTGCCAGTCCCCATGGAGAACACTAGACAAATGTCACATCTAGATTGTCTCTTAGTTTGAAATGTCGAGGAAGGCAATCATCAGTGTACAAGCAAAAAGACCCTGAATGCTTCACTCCTGAAGAGTGCAGCCAGCACTGTCTAGATGCAGGAATGTATACATCTACAGTATGTAGAGGAATTATCAATTATACTCGTCTTACATGAAAATGTTCACAGCGCATCCACATTTTTGTGTGATAACTTTGTCACTCATTCCAAAACAGAAAATATTTCATAAGAGGTTGTTGTTTTTTCGTGCTCCCCCAATTTTCCAATTTTTCCTTCAAAAAAAGTTTAGGGGTGATTTTCCCCCCCATGAATTTTTAAACCACTCCTGTGTGACCTTCACATTTCTACACTTACCTGGGAGTAAGCCACACTGAACATAGTATGAGCTACATCTGAGTAGGATTGCACTGTTGTAGCTGTAGACCACAATTCTAAATTAAAACACTAAACTAGGGCCCTTTGTTGTTTTGTAAAACATTTGGTTTTAGATTTTGTCTATTCTTTTGAGATTGTGGAGCCATGTCTTAGGCTGGAGTGACTCTGCATTTTAACTTTCCCCTTTAAAGGAATTCTACAGTTATATGACCCCTCAGAGTTAACATTTCATCTTCAAAGAAATCTGGTGACTTATGAAGTAGAACAGATGAGCCTAAAGTATTAAAATATTCTCTGTGTTAAGAAAGAGATGTCAGACATGTCTTAAAAATCATTTCTCCATTTGTGTCCAAGTTCTGTTCCTGTTTTCTCATGAAGTCTGGGAAGACGACAGTTGCGTGCCTGACCAACATGGATTACTCCTGTTTCCTGTCCAAAATAAGTGCAGCAAGGCAACCAAATCCTCTAAGACTGACCAGTGAGTAGCTGTATTTCCCACAGCTCTTGCCTGCTTTGTTGTAGCTTCCATGCACCTCTAGTATTAAGACACTGAAAAGTGTTGAGGTGACCACTTGAGACGACACTTCTGCATCAGTTTACCATCCAATATTACTAACATAAATATGCAGTTCAGAGTCAAAATAGTCAAAACCAAGAAAATTATAGTCTCCCATTGTGAGTATATCCTTTAATGCCACTAAAACACCTCAGGCTGTGGTCACTCACGCCAGCTGAAGCGGAGGGAAAGCGAGGCTATTTCCTCTGGAGGAATTTGACACACAGTTGCAAGATCACACAGCCCTTTGAAGCTGCGGGCTTAGCCTGTCATTGTGTGATCAGAAGCAACTGCGGGTGAGTCGGGGTGGGTGGGGTTTTTTTTGCTGTTTGTCTCCCTTGTGCATAAATGAGGATTTGCACCTCCGCACTGAGGGCCCCCTACGGAGTATGCAATGATGATACGCATACTGTGAAGGGGGGGAACGATGGCACAGAGTTGGAATGACCTGATCAAACCATCCCGATGGCATGAGAATGTGCCTGAGCAATCAGACAGGGGAAAGTCTGTCTGTGGCCCACAGCAATCCGTATCCTCCCGGACATTCCCCGGTGTCTTTTAACTCCGCTTCTGTGATGGAGCAGCACAGGTTGCTGACGACTGCAAGACACTTCCCAGATGTTGCTGTCTGATCGCTCCCTTTAGATCCATCAGGCACTCTCACCTATGTCGGATCTAAAGGTGCACATGATCACAGCCTTAGTTTCCGCTAGATTTCTGCCTATTTGTCTATAATATTCTCTTTGATAATTTTTGAACATTTGACTATGGAAAATGAAATGACCACAAAACGAAATATATATTTATTCAATGTATACCCCACCCTCCCTTACACACACACACACACACACACACACACACACACACACACACACACACACATATATATATATATAAAACACACACACATGAGTATCGGCCATATATCTAATCTCATGAGTCATGAAAATAACATTTCTCTTTCAGTTTTGAATTTATTTAGAAAAATGTTATACTGCTTGTCCAGGAATACACTTGAGGGGGGTTTACAGTATAAAAATAAAAACAAAACACTGAAAGATGTTAAAATTCAGTATTAAAAACTCAGCCAAGCATAAAAAGTATAAACCATAGAAAGACCACTGACAGTGTAAAATAACAGTTTCCAGACAAATATAGTGTTAAGCCCTTAATTAAAAGTCTGGGAGAACAGAAATATGTTAGCTTGAAGCCTAAAGCAGTGTAGACACCAGGCAAGCCTTAAGGGTACGGGTATTCCATAAGTGAGATGCCACTGCTGAAAAAGCCCTGTCTCTGGTTACCATCTGCCTCACCTCTGTAGGTAGGGCCACAGAGAGCAGGGCTTGCGAGGCAGATCTTAACTGGTGGGCTGGACAGTATGGGAGGAGGCAGTCCTTCGAATATATCAAGAAATTATGCAAATAGACCATACCAGAGTTATGGCTTTGCAGGCCAAGACCCCAGATCCTGATGAAGTACACTCATCCCTCCCCCATACTTGAGCTTTGTATAAGTTCATCCTTCAGCTACCATGCTGTAAGCCCTCCAACTAGAGAGCCACACACATGTCCTTACCTGACTAAGCAGTAAAAATGTATACACAGTAATGATTGCCATGTTTACTGTTCTCCTACACCTCACAAATTGAGTTTGTACCTATTTACTAAGTACAAAAAACTATTAGCATCTCACAGGTGATAAAAGCAACATTTACTACCGCATTTGGCTTCTCATTAAACTGTACGTTTCTTATTTTTGTTAACAACAGATGAGCTGGCAAAGATGATGTCCTCCTTAATCATGCTTGGTGGAGGTATGCCAAATGCTGACTACTTCCCAATAAAAACAGCAAGTATCACACTTGCTGATGGAACCACCATGGAAATAGGCGAAGAGCTGATGAAGATTGCTCTCCAGTATGGTGCTTCAGAAGGGTATTCATCAAAATCATACATCACTTTGTTTCATTTCTCTAAACTCAGTACAGTCCCAGAAGAATAAAGACTTCCATCCCGGGACCTAAGGCATGGGATGAGTTGCTCTACTTCCAGGGAACCAGGGACTTTGCATAAGAAGGCAACAGTCCTGCCAGATAAGATCAAGAGCCTGTTTAGTCCAAAATGCTGTTTCCAACAGGAACCAAAAAGATGCCTCCAAAACATACAGGCAATACTCTTTGATCTGTTATTCAACATGAATTGCAGCATAGCTGCCTTTGGAGTTGGATATTCACTTTATCATGGCTCATAGCCATTGAGAGGCCTATCCCCATAACTTTTTCTAAAACTTTCAAAACCATCTAAGTTAGCAACCATCACTATGTGTTGTGTATAATACTGCTTCCATTTGAAAAGAGCAAGAGGCCAGTAGCACATTAAAGAGACAGAAGTGAGCAGTGACTCATGAAAGCTCATACCCTGCCATATACTATGTTAGTATTTAAGGTGTTACTGGACTCTTGCTCTTTTCTACTGCTACAGACAGACTAACACAGCTACCCATCTTGAACTGTCTCCATGGACTGCTTTCATGTTTCTATTTTGAGCCTATTTCCAGTCAATTTTGTTGGATTATCCCAGTTTCTAGTATCATCTAGTGTCCTCTCAAAAGGCAAAAACAAATGTGTCAAAGAGAACGATTTGATCAGTGTGTAAAAAATAAATTATTGTGTGTGTGTGTGTGTGTGTCAGATCCCTACAGAAAGGGATGAGGAATTTAACCCTTCAAGCCCCATCCAGTTTCACTAAACAGAATCAGACTTCTGTTTAGGAGTGTGTATAATGAAATACCTGAGCCAAAGGAAAGGAAAGAGGCTACAATGAGTAAGGATGGGAAATGCAGAGTTTTCAGTGGGAAAATAAGAATTTTTTTAATTGTCTGCCAGTCTCTGAAAGAGTAGGAAAACGCAGACAGGATTTTTCTAATGCTGTGGCATGCAAGAGCTCTCATGCTTGGCTGCAACTTGGCCACCATTTTAGGTCTGTGGAGAGGCATCTCCTTTGTGTGGGGGGGTTCTGTGCTGAGAGGCATCTCCTTTGTGGGGGGTCTGTAAAACAGAGCCTCTTGGTCCAATTCACTTGAAACTTGGGGGAGGGGCTCTTTAGATTATAGGGATGTGTATGATCTGTGCAAATTTGGTGCTATTATCCTTCTAAAGAAGGTGCCTCAGACATCATATCCCTTCCCCATTGAAAATAATGGTCCCTAACTCTGAAACAACATAGATCCAGGTGGGCTGCTGTGTTGGTCTGAAGCAATAGAACAAAGCTAGAGTCTAGTGACACCTTTAAGACCACCAAAGTTTTATTCAAGCTGTGAGCTTTCGTGTGTGCACCCACTTCGTCAGACAATGAAATGGAATTACAGAACATAGCTGTAGATATAAGGGTAGTTTGTTAAATTAGCATGCAAAATAGTATAGATGTTTTTTAACAGATCAAAAGAATAACAAGCTCAGTTTTGTTTATCATCTTATCATCTGCTTGGGTTCAACTGGGGGGGGGGACAACATATGTAATATATAGATGAGTTTTATGGCTGTTTTATTCTATTTTTATGTTATAGTTACAGATTTTTAATTTAAGGTTCCAGCCTTGAGACAACAGGCTACTTGGTTGGTGAGATGGAAACAGACAAAGCATAAGAACATAAGAGAAGCCAATGCTGGATCAGGCCAATGGCCCATCTAGTCCAACACTCTGTCACACAGTGGCCAAAAATACCAGGTGCCATAAGGAGGTCCAGCAGTGGGGCCAGGACACTAGAAGCCCTCCTACTGTTGGCACTCAGGAGGCAGGTCCTGCAGGGCAAACAGGGATAGATCCTGGGGGCTGAATACTTCCCAGGAAGGAGTCCTGCCTGCTGGTAGGAACCAGGTAGCCTATCAAGCCTGTGCAGATGAGAGGGAGGCCTTTATAAGAGGGAGGAAGTAGACATAAGGACATGCCAAACCTTCATTCATAACCCAGCATGGAGGAAGACTGAATAGTAGAAGGAGGATCAGAGTGTTGAGTGTAACCTCCTTCGGAGGCCATAGGGGTTTCATGGAGAAGAACATGGAGACCCAGGAGCATGGGGTGTGAACCCCACCTCTCAAAAGCAACGTTTTTTAAAACCCTGCTTCTAACTGTGTGGGGAGCCCTGTTTCAATGAGCAATACTGAGTGAAGCTTTAAAGGTTATACTCCTTGGTCTTGATCCAAATTGTGGCTGCATGTGCAATTTATCATTTACAGACTGAGAGAGATCCATAGTATTTGTCACTTCTGTTTGGCCCTAGGGACATACAGCATCTCAAAAGATCAACCTGCATATTCATGTGACCAGTATAGATGAATACAGAAATATTTTTCATCCAGTTTTATAACAAGTCAGGCAAACGTAAAATAATTCTTGATTCTTAGGGATCAGTGGGAATGATTCTAAAGGCCCGGCCCTCCAGTTCTTTACCCAAATCACTAAACTTTATCCTTCCAAATAATTTTGGTGATACAGTCCTACACAGGGGGGGGGAGTGATTCTATTTCTAAGAAAAGACTTCAGGATCTATTTCTGCTTGGCTACCCATCTTGATTAGGTAGGGCGGTGGCTCAATGGCAGAGTATCTGTTTTGCAGCAGATGGTTCTGAATTCAGTCCCTGGCATCTCCAGTAAAAAGGCTCAAGCAATAGGTGAAATGAAAGACTGAGACAGTGAAGAGCCACTGCCATACAGAGTAGATAGTACTGACCTTGATAGACCAATGGTCTGACTCAGGTCCAAGACAGGTCTTTGTGTTCATCACATCTTTATTCCACAAATGTCAAGCTAAATTGAAGGTGTATATTATGTGTGCTGGATATTGAAAAGAATAATAAATTCTTTTTTACCAGAATTCAAGAACTAGTATCATGGTTAGAAGACTTACAGATGAAAATTCATGATCCACCAACAGCCAAGTATGCTCCTGAAAATGGACAAATGAAGATATGTATCACTGTTGGGAGCCAGGATGGACTTAGTAAGGTCTGGGCAATATATAAAGCAACATAAAATTTGTCTTTCGGAAATTAAATCAGTCATCAACAAGGGGATTATGGCTGCCCTGAGCCCATTTGTTGGGGTAGGGCGGGGTATAAATTTAAAAAATAAATAAATAAAATTCCACCCCCAACATCTAAGCTTAGCTGGGCAAGAACAGAACTCTACTCTCCCTTGTTCGCCAGTGTTCCCTCTAAGCTCAGTTAGTGTGAGCTATCTCACAGTTTTTTAGCCTCCAGCTCACACATTTTTGTCTTTGCTCAGGAAGGATGGCTCCAGAGCAAACTAATTTCAAAGTCAAATACTTTTAATGGCATAGCAGTAAGATACATGGATATACAATAACACAGTATGGATATTTAGGAACATAATAAACAATAGGAATCATTCCTTTATGAGAATAGATCTAACTTTGTCTGCTTCGGCAAGAAACTTGGCCACTATTATTAGGATTAGCATCCTTTAATAGAGCAAACTAATTTATGCAGTAGCCAAATCACTTGCTCACAACTTTAATGCCAGTAGCTCACAAAGTAGAATTTTTGCTCACAAGACTCCACAGCTTAGAGGGAGAAGAGTTCCATCAGGGTGAAAGCCTTGATCATCCCTCAGTATACTTCAGCATTTGTCTATTCTCTAATAATTAATAATAGCTCCCTTTTCCAAGCAATACATTCATACTGAAGGAAAAAAGAGCCCTTCAAATACAATGGACTGCATTTTTGACAAGTATTACATTTGTTTTCGGAGCACCTTAGAGTCCCACAAGATTTGGGGGGTATAAACTTTTGAGACTCAAAGCTCCCTTTGCCAGATATCAGCACAGCTACCATCTGAAACTACATCTGTGTTATGTCATATTTCATGAATTATTGGACTAGAAAAGCAAAACATGTAAGTGAAGCCCTACTTAAAATCTGGAACAGAAGTGGTTCAGCTGATATTACAAAATGGCATAACCTTTCATTCCTATCTTGTAGGTTTTTGATATGCTTATCAACCCAGGAGATAATGTCCTTATAGATGACCCAAACTACGTTGGGACACTGACAGGGGTGAGTGATTTTTAAGGCTCCATACACATGCAAAAGTGCCTGGATAAACCTATGGACTCCTGAAGGTGCCTTGTACCAGTTCAGACCATTCACCTTATCTACTGTGTACTGCAACTGGTTACAACTCTCCAGGATCTCAGGCAGAGGAGTTTTCCCAGCATCTGCAACCCAAGATCTTTCAACAACAGATGCTGCAGACTGAGCCTGGGACTTTCTACATGCAATTTTTGTTTGTTTATTTTGAGCTGTAAACAGGACATGGTGCAGATTGGTGTTGGGAGGAAGGAGGAGGAGGAGGAGGAAATTGGATTGATATCCCGCCCTTCACTTGGAGTCTCAGAGTGGCTTACAAACTCCTTTCCCTCCCCACAACAGACACCCTGTGAGCAAAGGTCTTGTCAAACAGGACAACAACATGCCCAGTTTGGCCAATTAGAATCTCAGATTTGAATTCCTAAACTTCTCAAAAGAGGTTCAGGCACTGGGTCCCATCCCAACCACCATTCTCATCAGCTGCTGCTTCCCTTGAATACTACCTGTTTCTTTGCATGCCTCCCATTGTCACACCAACATGTTTTTGTCTGCCACTAGCATGTTACATTTCAGAATCAATCCTCAGGTGCACAAAGCACAAGCCCCTTTTTAGCTATGGCTGAAAAACATCCTGGCTTTAACAGTTTCTATTGAGTAGATATTGAGTTGTACATGATGCCTTCTTTCTTTTCACAAACAGCTCCGGCCATTGGATTGTAACATTATCAGCATCCCTAGCGATGAGAATGGTATTATTCCAAAATCCTTGAAGGATATTCTTTCCAGATGGAGATCTGGAAATATCCATAAACTCAATAGCAAGACTCCTAAATTCCTGTACACTGTTCCAAATGGTAGCAATCCTTCTGGAAGCTCCTTGACAGCAGAACGCAAAAAGGAGATTTACCAGGTAATCCGTGGGGTTGGAGATTATCATCACTTGCAAGCAGAAGCAAAGGTGGCATTTTCCACTAGCTAAAACTAGTCGGCTGCCTACAGCAACATTTTTATGGGAGCAAACTATGAATTACAGCAACAGATGGAAGGAGCTTCCTAGAGCAATAGGCTTGACACGTGGACAGGTTGGCTAGTTTAGAGGAGCTGTTGCCAGTTGCTGAACTAACTGCATCCCTCTCTTCAGCCCTTGCCTTTAACCAATTTTTTTTTAAAAAATTGAAGTATTTTTAATTTTTTAAAAATTTGCCTGTTTTGCATGAGAAAGTTGTGTGTTCATATGCATTAGGTAAGCATGTTGAATCATTTACTTATATATTTATTGAAATGTTTACAACCCACCTTTTCTCTGTGGCTCATGGAGCTTACAATTCTAAATTTAAAAACATAATCAAACCCCAGTTAACGCTTCTACCCAAGAAAATTCCTGCACTTACACCCTGGGAAAATAAATGCTTAAAAACCCTAGGACATAAAATGGCCTTGTAACACCTCCTAAAAACTTCTAAAGATGGCACACCTCATCTCCAACTCCAGAGTCACCAGTTCAGCCTCTGCATGTCCTAATACGTTTTACATGAAATTATATTTATTTATTGTTTTAAAAAGTGTTTATATTGTCTTTTTGCCTAATTTTGGCCTCCAAGGCAGCAAAAAATCAAAAACATTTCTTTAAAAAAAATAAACACATATATAAAAATGGTTAGAACACATACATCAGAAGGAGAGTCAGTAAGGGAATGCCAAACAAAACAAAAAAAGTCTTCACCTGGAGGCAGACGACAATGATAGAAGGGAACAGGTGAATACCCCCTGAGGAGGAAATTCCCTAATTTTGGTGCCATGATATAGAAGGCCCTTTCTCAAGTTGCCATCCATTTCTGGCTCTGGCTGCCATCAACCACTCTGCCCTCAGTTCCACCAGCCCCAGTGGATACCAGCCACCACTGAGGAGAAACTAAAACAATCTAATTATAAAGATGTGGGATATGAAATTTTGGAGAACCCTGTCATACAGACATTCTACTGGGATTATCAACATTTTGATGGAATCACTATCTCCTTAACTTGTTGATGAAATCTCTTGAATGCATTGATACTTTTCACACAACACCTATTTGTTGTTGGATTTTTTTCCAGCTTGCTAAAGAATACAACTTTCTTATAATAGAAGATGATCCATACTATTTTCTCCAGTTTGAGAAGGTAAAAACACACCCATTCCCTACTTGGTATGTTGTGGTGCATGTTGTTTTTTTTCTTGATGAAAAGGAATACACTTTCAGTGTTTAGATTTTAAATCTTGTCAGGAACTCAGGACCAAAGGCAAGAGAGTATTTTAGAAGCTGGCTGGATGAAGTCCAGTACCTGGGAGATGGAAGGGGTAGACATGGTAATCTGTTTAATGACCAGTTTCCAAGAAAGAAAGAAGACAGCTGATCTGACAATCTTTAGATCAGCAAGAGACACTGGACTGGATATCCCATGTTACTTGACTAGTAAGATAATGGGGGCTGTTATGTTAGTGTTCAGTTGGAACTGCCTGCCGTGCACTCTTCTAATCTGCAGCCCTGTGGTGCCTGCTCCTCAGGGTTCCTAGTTCAAGTCCTGTAATGCGGATCCAATCACTTTTTATGTTTTAAGGAATGTTAAACAAGCTTCCATAACTCAATGGTTTGGATTCTTAGCCTTGCTTCTGTTCATGCTGCACCATTTTCCATGGCGGAGATTATCCTCTGCTGCTGAACATGTGCCTCCAACACTAGAAGCTTTAATTCATACAAGACTAGCATCTTTCAGTAAGCCAAAAAACACCTGGCCCTGGAGGAAAGAGATGCACAGTGGAGGACTACCTTTGCCATCGATGAAGAGGTACACAGATGGAAACAAGGTTTAGGACCCAAGCCAATAACTTTTTATACTTTCCAACATATAGAAATTAAAGAGCAGTGTTACAACTGAATCACTTTGTTTGTGTTTTACACTTGAAGATCTGCAGATTATGCCTGTCCCTCAGATAAAGACTTGGGAGGGGGGGGGATTAAAGTTTTTTTCAGTGTAACTAGGAGCAAGAGTTTTCCTCATACACTTTAACATTTTAAATTGTATAATCTTAACAGTGATGGAATTAGGTTATTCACTTTTCTAAATACCATTTGTAAATATGAAATACAGTATATACATGTAGGGGTACAACCAAATCTGGTCCATTGAGCCTTTCTGAGGGAGAAGTTCTCTGGTCCCTCAAGAAGCAGATTCCAGACACGCTTGGCCTAAGAGTGGCATAGTGTTGAGTGTCAACATCATCAGTCCACATTGGTTCATCTTGCATATGGTTTTGAGCACCATACAGTAGAGGAGGAAATATCTCTTTCATGGGGGCAGAAGAAATATCTCTTATCTTACTTTTCAGGGAAAGGGTTTGTCACTTTTTATCTCATCTACAGAAAGCTAAGGAACCAAAACATTTGCTTATTGATGGACACTTTGTTTTTACTCATAAGGTATCTTTTGTCTTTTCAGATGAAAGCACCATCATTTCTTTCACTGGACGTTGATGGTCGAGTCATCAGATGTGATACTTTCTCTAAAGTTATCTCTTCTGGGTGAGTGAAGCATGCAAATATTAAACATGCTCACCAACATCAACATACTCATCACCTTTTTGAAACAACCGAACAGAGTATCTACAGTAAGCCTAGCATCTGTCAAATGATACCAACTGCAATGACCCACAGACAACCATAAAGTTTCTTATGATTTCACAGCTTTGGAAAGCAAACTCCAGTGGGCATTTTACCAAACAAAATTGTCCAAAAAAAGTTAATAAAGCACTGAGTCAGTAAGTTAATGGGTAACCAGACTAATGCTACTGTCATGGTTTACTGTGAAGGGACGAGAGGGGAGGTAGATTGGGTGTGGAGAGAGTGGGTGTCCTTGGGCAGTAGATTGGGTGGGCAACTTCTCTGTTTCTGTTGCTGCCATCACCTCACCCCTATGACCCCACTCCCTACCCAGGTGCCAGTATTCTAACACTCCTTCCCTCCTTGTTCTCCAGGCATCTTGCACAGCAACACTCAAGAGATGGGGGAGCTGTACATCTGTTCTGAACTTGTGCATGAATTCAAGTTCAGCAGTATCATATTGTCATCTCCCCTAGAAGCTTCTTTGTTCTTCTTTCAATGTTATATATGGCATCAAACATCAGCAATGCCTTCCACTCTCTACATTGGACAAGCAGTCCCTGTACAAAGAATAAACGGATACAAATCCGACATTAAAAACCACAACGCTAAAATAAAACAGTGGGAGAACTTTAGGGTCATTCCACTGCTGACCTAAGAGTGGTAGTCCTCAAACAGAGAAGTTTCACGGGGAGATTACAATGTGAGATGGCTGAACCTGAGTTCATTCAGAGGTTCAGAACAATGGGCTCCCCAGGGCTGAATAAGGACACAGGATTCTTATCTCACCACAGAGGCTAATTTTCTGCCCCAAGCATTTCCCCTCTGCTCTAACCAAGCTGTTTACAATGTGCATCGTACCTCTGCATCATCAGTTCCTTCTTTGCAACTCCCCTCCCACCTTCTGACTTGGATATAAGGACTCAGAGATCTCCATTCCAACTCATATCTGGCTAAAGGAGCTTTGACTTTTGAAAGCTTATACCCCAAAAATCTAGTCAGTCTTTAAGGTGCTACTGGACTTGAATCTAGCATAACAAGTAAGCACATATTCCAGTTAAATGATCCTTATGTCATCTCTGCAACTGGTGTTGAAGGCCAGGGTATGCCATAATTTAATATGCCCCTCAGCCACTAACATCTCATGAATCTCTTTTCTGTGGTATCATTCACTGATGATACATTCACGACACATACACTGTGTAAAAGTCGAGGCGTGGGTTCGTATTTTATCTATATACACATGGCTAAAGGGACAGCTTAGCCCACAAGGTCTACTCCTTCTGATTTATATCGATAATTTTCAATCAAACTGGTGCAAAGCGGTTCAAGGTTACCTTTTCAGGATTGGCCTTTCCCCTCGGGTGCTTCTGTTATGTGGAATGGAACAGGCAAAAAAAATTAGTGAGGCAAAGAATTAAGGACATCGAATGTCAAACTCATATTGCTAGCATACAAAATACTGTGAGGGCAAGTATTAAAAATACAGTTGAGCCAGCGGATTATCACTGGAAGTAAAAGGGCTCAGAAGAGTCTTCTCTTAGCTAGATGCTCTGCCCTCCCTTCCACTGTACTTGATGGGAAATAGAAGAACATTCCCTATGTGGAAATGCTTTGCACCTGCCCACTCAGGGACTTCAAATGTCCACACTATGGGTGCGTTCAGACAGGGGCTTTCTGCCGGCAGAAACACGATCACACTTACCCTCCATTTTGTGGATCCCTTCGGTGTACGCCCGGTCACACGCTGCAGGTGTCGGCGGTTTTTGTTGTTGTTTTTTTTTAAAACACAGTTTGAGCATGCGCATAGGCAGCCATTCACAGAATGGCGATCTTTGCGCATGCTCAA